GCCCCTTTGCAATTTATTTGTCCTAATCTGTAAGATTTTCAAATGAATGCTCCTCAAATGGAAACTTTGGGGGTGACCATACCATGACATGGTCTGAGATAACTTGCCCTAATGTCTAAATCTGCAATGGTTAGCCCTTACCTGAACCTTCTGAAGGACTTGCCCCAAAATGAACATTGAAGCGACTTAACTTGTGTTGATTGAGAGCTGAAGAGATTTTCCCTTAATCAAATGAACCACTGGGTGGCCTGCCTTTGGCTAGTGGAGTCTTAAGATGATTTTCTCTGATCAACTGACTCTTGAATGATTTGCCCCAAATTCACAAGGTTATGATAAGGTCTTGATTCGAGCCAGCACCAACGGATGATCAAGTTTCTCTCTTATTGCCCTTTGTTGGAATCTTTTTTATGTCAAGTACTTGCTTGCAGTTAAAATTGTTCATTTAAGAATGGTAACTTTAATGCGACATTCATGCAGGTTTTAAAGGAAATCACTTATTAGAATACATTGGTCAGGTGTTATGGTGGTGACGCATCATTGAAGAAGGTGAAACTTCAGCCACTATGAAAGCAGTATGAGAATCTCAATATGAAGAACAATGAAAAGGTATCTGAGTACATCTCCAAAGTGATTATGATCACTAACAAGATGAAAGCTTGTGGAGAAGCCCTTTATGAACAAGTAATCATTGAGAAGGTATTTAAATCCCTTACCCCCTCAGTTTGATTATATTATGGTAGCAATAGAACACTCTAAAGATCCGAGCACCATGAGAATTAAAGAGTTGCAAAGTAGTCTAAAGGCACAAGAGTTACGTCTGACTGAGAGAACTTCTGAAAGGGAAGTAGAGCAGTAGGCTCTGAAAAAAGTTTATGGTAAGAAGCATCAAAAACAATTTTGGTCAGAAGGCAGGAGAAGATATGATGGTGTTCAGAAGTCAAAAACCTCAACTTCTAATAGGCAGAAGAATGCTCAAAAGGAAAAAGAGAGGTATGACCAGAAAAAGATCCAATGCTACTGTTGTAAGAAGTTTGGCCATTTGCTGCTGATAACTGGTCAAACAAGGAAAAGAAGTCAGAAGAAGCAAATATAGCCAGAAGTTTTGATGATGAATTTGTGCTACTGATGGCTTTTGAATCCGATGATACGAATTTGACAGACTGGTGCTATATGGACACTAGCTGCTCAAATCATCTTATTGGAAATAAAAAATGGCTAGTTGACTTTGACTCTGGTAAGAGGACAAAGATCAGATGTGCTGATGATAAATACCTGAACGCTGAAGAAATGGGAAATGGCAGAGTCATACTGAACAATGGGAAAACAGCATTGATTCAGAAAGTGTGGTATGTGCCTAGCATGAAAAGAAATCTGGTGAGTGTAGGGCAACTAATTGAGAAAGTTTTTTCAGTTACCATGAAGAACAATCTTCTGAAGCTGTATGACTGTAATCAAAAGCTGACTATGGAGCCAGAACAGGGAAGGAATAAAACATTCAAGGTGAATGTAAGAACTGCAGACTCTGAATGTATTAGTGCAACAAGTGTTATGAAGGAAAGTGAGTTATGGCACAGAAGATCTGGTCATCTGAATTTTAAAAGCTTAGGGCATTTGAATTCGAAGAAGTTGGTACATGAAATTCCTACAATTAAGAAGCCTGAGAAGTCACGCAAAGTGTGCATGGAAGGAAAGCAACCAAGATTGCCATTTGCGTCAGAAGTAGCTCCAAGAGTAAAGCATGCCTTGGGAGTAGTGCATTATGATGTGTGTGGTCCATTTCCAATAGCATCGATTGGAGGGAATAAATACTTCGTGTCACTTGTTTATGCATTCACAATAATGACATGGGTATCCCTTATAAATTCCAAACACGAGGTGTTTCCTGAATTCAAGAAGTTCATAATGAAGGTTGAGAATCAGAGTGGTCAGACTCTGAAGATTCTCAGAACCGATGGTGGAGGTGAGTATAACTCCACTGAGTTTAGAAAGTTTTGTGAGGAGAATGGAATTGAACATGAGGTTACTGCTCCTTATACTACTAAGCACAATGGTCTTACTGATAGAAGAAATCGTACTTTGCTTGATATGATGAGAAGCATGCTGAAGGAGAAGGAGCTTCCTCAAACCTTATGAGGAGAAGTTGTTGCCATCGCAACAAATATGCTCAACAGATGTCCAACGAAGAAGCTGAAGGAAATAGTTCTTATTCAGAAGTGGACTGGAGATAAGCAAAGTGTTAGCCATCTGAAGGTATTTGGTTCTGTATGTTACAAACATGTTTTAGAAGTCAAAAGACAAAAGCTGGATGATAGAAGCAAAGTAATGTTACTAGCGGGGTACCACAGTACAGGTGCGTATAAGTTATATTGTCCAGAAACTAATAAAGTTGAATTCAGCAGAGACGTCATTGTAAAGGAATCAGAAACTTGGGATTGGAACAAGTCTCAATCGAAATCTAATGTGATAACTTTTGAAGAAAGTTCAGAATTAGAAGTTTTTGAAGATGAGTTAGAAACTGGAGAAGATTCTGAAGCTGGAGTAGCCTCTGATGGTGATTCTAACTTTGAAGGAGACTCAGAAGGTGAAGATGATTCTGATCCAGATTCTGGTGGTGATTCAAATTCTAGGAATATTCCAGACTTTGAAAGTGGTCATGGTTCTGGAGGAGGTCAAACTTTTGAAAGAGAAGCTTCTGAAGATAGAACATTTGGAGTTCAAGCATCTGAAGGAGATTCTAAACGAGGTCAGAGGCCACAGAGAATCAGAAACATTTCGAGAAGATTTGCAGAGTTTGATATGCTACAAGACACTGAAGTAGATTCTGAAGGAGAAGTTATTCAATGTGCCATGTTAGTAGACTCTGAACTCATAAGCACGAAAGAGGCTCTTAAGCAGAAAGTCTGGCTGAAGGTCATGAAAGAAGAACTTGATACTATAGAAAGGAACAAGGATTTGAAGCTAACAAAACTTCCAAAGGATAAGAAAGCCATTAGCGTCAGATGGGTTTTCAAGCAGAAGCTAAAGCCAGATGGATCAATTGGCAAACACAAAGCGAGGTTAGTAGCAAGAGGATTTCGGCAGAAACCTGGGCTGGATTATTTTGAAGTGTTTGCGCCTATAGCGAGACATGAAACAATCAGACTGGTGATTGCAATAGCTGCTAACAAGAATTGGCCTCTGATGCATTTAGATGTAAAATTTGCATTTCTGAATGGTCCATTACAAGAAGAGGTATACGTGTCACAACCTCTTGGATATGTTAAAAAGAATCAGGAAGGGATGGTGTACATATTATATAAAGCTTTGTATGGATTGAAGCAAGCACCCAGAGGCTGAAATATGAAGATTGATTCATTTTTCAAGGAGCAGGGGTTTCAAAAATGTGAGATGGATTACGACGTTTATGTTCAGCATACTTCTAAAGGCAATATGATTTTGGTGTGTTTGTATGTTGATGACATACTGCTGACAGGGAGTTCTGAACAAGAGATAGCTAAGTTCAAGAAGTTGCTGATGAATGAATTTAAAATGACTGATCTCGGAAAAATAACATAGTTTCTAAGAATGAAGTTTATATACTCTGAGAATGGTATCATTTTGCATCAGCTGAAGTATGAACTTGAGCTTCTAAAGATATTTAAGCTGCAGAACTGTAAGGCTGCTATCACACCTGCGGATACAAAACAGAAACTAAATTTTGATTCTGATGGTGAGGATGTGGATGCTACAACCTTCAAACAGTTGGTTGGTTCTCTGAGGTATCTGTGTAATATCATACCTGATATCTGCTATGCAGTTGGAATCATTAATAGGTTCATGAGTAAACCTAAGTGGTCTCATTACCAAGTTGTTGTCAAAATTCTAAGGGATATCATGGGAACTTTGAAGTATGAAGTGCTATTCTCTTCTAGAAGAAAGATTGAATCAGAACTTCTGAGTTATTCAGATTTTGATTGGTGTGCAGATAGAGTTGACAGAAAAAGTGCTTTTGGGTACTTGTTTAAATTTTTGGGAGGTCCTATTTCTCAGTGTTCCAAGAAACAACCTGTTGTTGCGCTGTCGACTTGTGAAGTTGAATATATCGCAGGCGTTGTGACTGCATGTCAAGCTGTGTGGATTCTGAACTTACTACAAGATTTGAAGATCAAAGTTAACAAACCTCTGAAGTTGATGATTGATAAGAAGTCTGCAATCAATCTCGCCAGAAACTCATGGGAGAAGTAAGCATATTGAGACTGAGTATCACTTTCTGAGAAATCAGGTTCATAATGGAGTGCTAGAAGTTGTACATTGTAGCTCCCAGAAGCAGTTGACGAATGCTATCAAGACTGATCAATTTCTTCACTTAAGGGATGAAATTAGTGTTGTCGGTTTTGGGTAAATATAAATTAAGGGATGATGTTAGAAATAATTTATATTTTACAAAGTTTAGTGATTAAGTTTTGTTAGATGGTAATTTAATACTTTAGTATGTTACCTATGTGACCTTAGTTTTGTGTGCATAAATAAATTAATGGTAGATGTCATTTTGTAATTCTTCCTTAAAATTTTGTAATCGTCATTTGCAAAAGAAAAAATATATTCTCTCATTCTATTCTTTTCTTCTCTTTTAAGCTTGTGTACCTGCAATAAATACTTTATGCAACCATTGAAGAAAATTTATTGAATATGACATGTTGATAATTATTTGGTTCAAATTATTTTCAATAATTTGAATATACTCTTTAAACTAAAGTTTATAAGAATAATTTAACTTAATTTAGTTTCGACTTCTCGTATATTAAGAAAGAAAAAAAAAAACATTGTCGTTTTTTTTGCAATTCTCAACAGTAACACTGAACAACACAGTATCACTTGATAGTCGACAACAAAAACGACGACGTATTGGTCGCCGTAAAAAGTTATCTTCTCGACGTTCCTGCGAATTTCTCAACTAATCAAAAAGCTTCAATTCAATTCAACAATGCTTCAATAGTGTAGCTTTTGAATCCATTCAATCCATGGAAATTCTTATCTCTTCAACCTCCAAAACCATTCCATTCCCATTTTTCTGCAACCCCAAAACTCTACATCCAAAATTCTCATCAAACTGTAACAAACCATTTCACAGAAACCATTTCCCTTTCTATCTAACAACTTCAACTTCAAGAAAGTTTCAAACTTGGGCCCATTTCGGACGACCTACCAACCGCCGTAATTCTCTGAGGAATAAGCTTCTTCAGGATAACCAGGTACGCCTCAAACATATTCCCGATGACCCATCTTCTGTTTCTAGTAATGATGTTGCAGAGAGTGATGTAAATTTTCAAAGGGTGTCTTTTGATGGTGATAGTTTAGTTGAGTTGGAAAAGCAAAAATCTAAGCTTTTAGGTGAATCTGTTTTTTTGAATAAATTGGAGAATTGGGTTGATCAGTATAGTAAAGATATTGAGTTTTGGGGTATTGGGTCTGCTCCTATATTTACTGTTTATGAAGATTCATTAGGAGGTGTTAAAAGGGTTTTAGTTGATGAAGAAGAGATTTTGAAAAGAGTTAGGGTTCAGAAAGGTGTAAATGAAATTGAGGATTTATCTGACGTGAGGTGTAAGATTTTGGAGGCTAAGAAGCTAGCGAGGGATATGGAGAATGGTGATAATGTGATTGCGAGGAATAGTTCTGTGGCTAAGTTTGTTGTTCAAGGTAAGGAGGAGAAGGGGGAGGAGGGTGGTTTTGTTAAGGCTGTTTGTGGCTTTGTCGCTCAACCTCGGTTGCCTTCGAAGCTTTCTGGGGTTGGTGGTAAAGTATTGATTGTTTTGGTTGTAATGTTTGCGGTGAAGAAATTGTTTAGTTTTGGAGATAAAGAGGTTCGGTATACTGAAGTGGAGAAGAAAATGATGACGAGGAAGGTAAAGGCTAGAAAGGAGAAAGAGATGCTGACGAAGGGCGCTGTTGAAGTTATTCATGAATCTAAGGAGACACCGGTGATAGGCGTTAAAAAGCCGAAGTTGGATAAGGAACAGCTTAAGAATAATATTCTTAAAGCTAAGGCTTCTTCTGATAAACTTGTAGTTCAGAATTCGTCTGATGAAGTGAGAACTGGATTGATTGATATGGACTATAAAGTTCGAGAGATCCGAGAAATGGCCAAGCGGGCATGGGAAATTGAAGGAAGAGATCGTTCTCTAATTAGTAAGGATGTGGAAACGGATGATCATGTCGAGGTGAAATCCTCCGATGAGAGTGAAGAAGTTAAAAAGAATAGCAAACAGGATAACAGTTTAAGTAATCATCAAAATGAAGTTGCCAGGAAAACAACAGATAGTAATGGAGTTCTGGATACAACTTCTGATGATCTCACGGAGAAGGGCGACAATTCAATCCTCCAGGCGGTAGCTCATGATGATAGAGAAATTAATGAAGAGAAAATAGAAATCAATGGAAATGCTATGGCCCTTGAGGACAGCAAAGACAACAAATCCTTACGTACTCCGGTTAATGGCTCCTTTATAACTAATAAAAGTTCAGTGAACAAGAAACCGAGGATCATACGGTCTGTTAAGGAAGCTAAGGATTATCTTTCAACAAAACATGACAAACAAAATCGTTATACAAAATCTCCAATTAAAATCAAGAAAGAAAATATTGCTGATTCAAAGCCTTCCAAATATGTTGATTTTAACAGCCAGAAGTCGCAAAATTTGGAGATGAATAATACAATTGTGTCCAGAAGTGACACATTAAATGGATTTCCGTATTCCAAGCCGGAAATAAATGCCAGTGAAGATTCTAAAAGGGAAAAGAGCCCGACAAAGAATGAGTGCTGGGAAGATTCTGGTATTGAACCTGGATTTGAAGATCTTCAAAAGTCCAAGACCACTTTAGACCATGAAATTAACGGCATTGGTACAGAAGGAAAGGGAAAAGAGCCCGGCAGGGAAAGATTACTGTATTCTAAGCCTTACATAAATGCCAGTGAAGATTCTAATCAGAAGGAAAGTGAAAAGAGCCCGACAGAGACCGATTGCTCGAAAGATTCTGGTATTGAACCTGGATTTGAAGATCTTCTAAAGTCTGAGACCACTTTAGACAGTGAAATTAACGGCATTGGTACAGAAGGAAAGGGAAACGAGCCCGACAGGGAAAGATTGCTGTATTCTAAGCCTGACATAAATGCCAGTGAAGATTCTAATCAGAAGGAAAGTGAAAAGAGTCCGACAGAGAACGATTGCTCGAAAGATTCTGGTATTGAACCTGGATTTGAAGATCTTCAAAAGTCCGAGACCACTTTAGATCATGAAATTAACGGCATTGGTACAGAAGGAAAGGGAAGAGAGCCCGACAGGGAAAGATTGCTGTATTCTAAGCCTGACATAAATGCCAATGAAGATTCTAATCAGAAGGAATGGGAAAAGAGCCCGACAAAGAATGAGTACTCAAAAGATTCTGGTATTGAACCTGGATTGGAAAACCTTCAAGAGTCTGAGATAACTTTAGACTGTAAAATTAACGGCATTGGTACAGAAGCAAAACTGTCGGTGGAGAAAAGCTTCCATGAAGCTGAGCCAACAATCGAACAAAATAGTAGCGATACTTTAAATATGATATCAGATTCTAAGCCTGACCTAAATCCGAATGAAAATTCTGATGAGGAGGATAATAAATTCAGCCAAACAAAGATTGACAACACTAAAGACTCTGATGTTGAACCTGGAATGAGAAATCCTCAAAATTGTGAGACTACTTCAGGTGAAGAAATTAATGGTGATAGACGCAAGTCAAAATTTACTGGAAAGACAGAAAATTGGCTGGAGACAAATTTCCATGAAGTTGAGCCTATAATTAAGCAAATTAGAGCTGGATTTCGAGATAACTATGCGGTTGCAAAAGAAAGAGTTGATCAAACTTTGGATATACCATCTGAGATGGAGTCACCTGAAATTGGTGAAGATGGCGGGGAACCTGACTGGATGCAGAATGAACATCTTAGGGACATTGTGTTTAGAGTCCGTGATAATGAATTGTGTGGACGAGAACCATTTCATATGATGCGTGACGAAGATAAAAAAGCTTTCTTCGAAGGTCTTGAAAAACAAGTAGTGAAAGAAAACAAAAAACTTTCTCACCTCCATGAATGGCTCCATTCAAATATCGAAAATCTTGATTACGGAGCAGGTAGTTTGCATATTTCTAAAATCATGATACACATAATGTGATAACTTCTAATTTCGTGAAGCTGTTCTTTTTTTCATAATATTAAAAGGCTACTTTATTGGATTAAATTCTTTAACGTATTAGCATGCATTTCCGTTTGAATAATTTTAAAAATCATGCTAATAGTGGTCTTGTATTCCTCTAGATGGCATTAGTATATATGATCCACCAGAAAAAATCATACCGCGTTGGAAAGGACCTTCCGTGGAGAAAATTCCGGAGGCCCTAAATGAATTCCTCGAGGAAAAAATAAAAAGAACTTCCTCCAAAAATTTGAACCTGGTGAAGAAGGATGAGAAGGACTCTACTAAAAATTCAGCTGATTCATCTTCAAAAGTAAAGGTTGATGGTTCTGTAGCACCGATTAAGAAGTCAAAAACACCAAAGACTGTTATCGAAGGAAGTGATGGTTCTGTTAAAGCTGGCAAAAAATCAGGGAAGGAATATTGGCAGCACACGAAGAAATGGTCACAGGAATTTTTGGACTGTTACAATGCTGAGACAGACCCCGAAGTTAAGTCCGTAATGAAGGATATTGGGAAGGATTTGGATCGTTGGATCACTGAAAAAGAACTCGAGGATGCAGCTGATCTGATGAAAAGATTGCCTGATAAGAATAGGAGTTTCGTGGAAAAGAAAGTTAACAAACTTAAAAGAGAGATGGAGTTGTTTGGACCGCAAGCAGTGGTTAGCAAATATCGTGAATATACAGACGATAAAGAAGAAGATTACTTATGGTGGTTAGATCTTCCATATGTACTGGTATGTATGTTTTTTTGTTTCCACCATTTCACTATCTAAAATGAAATTTAAGGTCTGTTTGGATTGTCTTATTTAAGGTTTATCTTTTGACATAAACACTTGTAAGACTGTTTAATTAAGCTTATAGAAACAACTTATCACATGTCAATAAGTTGTTTTCAACTTATTTATAACCACTAATGCTGAATCAATGTGTTTATTTTTTGTCAGTGCATTGAGGTATACACGGTTAAAGATGAAGAACAAAGAATTGGATTATATTCACTGGAGATGGCTCCCGATCTTGAATTGGAGCCCAAACCATGTCATGTGATTGCTTTCCAAGATCCCGGTGACTGCAGAAACCTTTGTTACATAATTCAAACACACATGGAAATGCTTGGAGGTGGCAGTGCCTTTGTTGTTGCGCGACCTCCTAAGGTAGTTAATCGTACTCTACGTCTGTTCCTAAATATACGACTTTCTTTAAAAACTTTTCATGTCCATTTTTATAGGATCCCTTTCAAATTTTCAACGACGTTATTATTTTTTCACCAACATACCCCTAATTTTGTTACATATGACAGGATGCTTTTCGAGATGCTAAAGAAAGTGGTTTCGGTGTTACTGTCATCAAGAAAAGTGAAATTCAGCTTAATATAGACCAACCACTAGAAGAAGTGGAGGAACAAATTACAGAGATTGGAAGCAAAATGTATCATGATAAGATGATGAAAGATCGAGCCGTGGATATAAACTCGATAATGAAGGGTGTGTTTGGTGTTGATGTCTCCGACAAGAGGTAATTGATCATTGACTCAATATTTCATTGTTTTGTTTTGTACAATGTTATTTAATGATTTTATTTTTTTCCTTGTTAAAAAGGTTAAAGCGGAAGTTGAAGTAGTGTGGAAGGGTTGGTTCAAACTATTTTCACAAATGAAAATGGTTGAAGAAAATTAAGGCATGCATGCATTGTAGAATAAGTTAATTTCTTTTGTAGTTTTTTCTTTATTAGGGTTGGTTGTATATGATTGAGAAAATATAGTGAATATTAATAATAGTTGATGATGATAACTTGATGGCATAGTGAGAATTTTTGCATCAAGAATGTTGTTTAATAGAAGGGATTAGTAATGAAAATAAGTTATTCTTTCAACTTTATTGTCACTCTAAATAATTAAGAGAAAGTTGCAAATGAAAGAGTGTAACAATTTCCTTAAAAATAGAAATAAAATAATTTTAATAATAAGAGTTACTCTTTCAATTTTATTGTCACTCTAAATAATTAAGAGAAAGTTGCAAATGAAAGAGTTGCAAATGAAAGCCTGCACCAGCACTTGCCCTCACTCGAAAAAAATATTTCTTTTAAACAGTAATAAAAGTTAATGATTTTATTAAAAATTTGACCATTTTAATAATAAATTTGTTTTTAAAGATGAGGGTTTCAGTGAACGGTGAAAAATGACTAATGAGAATTTTAAATTACTTCTTCAAAAGTGAATAAATGTGTAATAAAATAATTTAAATATGGATATTAAAGTAAATACCATAAGACCGGACGAGGCGGGGGTGGGTACGTGACGGGTAGTAGCATCCCCCGGTCCTCGCAACCATACCCGTCATTACAAACTGAGTTTTCTCCGCACCTAATCAAATCGGATTTCTCCCGTTAATTTCAGGTCGGATTCGGGAGGATCCCGTCGAGCCCGGATTTTTTTGTCATGCCTAATGTCTTCAATTTGGTTTTTGACAAAAGAAAGTGGAAGAGCTCTTACGAGACATCAATAACATTAGGAACATGTATACTAAATACTCTTTTGTGGTTAGCAACGTTAAGTAAAGGAACCACAACATGTGGTCTTATGTCTATCAGCAATGATGCCTTCTCGTATTAGAGTATTTAAGTATTATCGTCAGTTTAAATAAGATATCGATCGTTGGTGGTGCGGTTCGCTCTTCCTAATATCTATTATTGTGTATCGTACAATTTGTCTTTGTTGGAGGATATATGGGGAGCTCTGGGTTTATTAATCATATCCCCTTCCGTTGTTGGTGGAGATTGAGAATTTTTTTTCTTATGTTTACAACTTCTTTCATCTTTGTCAACAACCTTCGGTTGACTATTGTTTCAACTTATTTGTGCATCTCTTTTGGCGGGGCACTCAATTAAAAGAGAATTAAATGCATTAAAATTTTAAGTACCATCGGCTATTGTTGTTTTGTTGAAGTGATCAAGAATTTATGACAATTGCGTCATTTTATGGGGTTAAAAATTGATGTCATGGTAATTATGCCAACAAAAATTGATGTAGCGGTAATCACGCATAAGAACAAACTCAAATTTGGAAATTTTGGAGGCGGTCCTTGAATATTACCTTAAACAAGTGCCGGAAAAAATTTAGCGAGAAAATGACCTAAAAATTGATTTTGGTAACAATATTAGCTTCATGGATGCAAGCATATAACCAATCAAAATTTTGATTTTGGTAACAATATTAGCTTCATGGATGCAAGCATATAACCAATCAAAATTTTTTTGAAGAAGTAAAAACTCACCGATTAAAATTTGATCATTGAAAATGAGAAGTTCTGTAAAAAAAAATACGGATGGCTTCAAGTGGTAGTGATGGCGGCGAGACTACGTGTAACGCCCCAGACTATTTTCAGGATTATCAACTGATCCCACAAGTCAACATGGATCTTTTCATCATGTTTTATCCCCACTCACACGCTTTCCGAAAAGAAGACGCATCTTATTGGTATAAATAGTACCTATCAATCCTTAAAAGTCTTCCCTCAACCACGCGGTCTCATACCTGCACGTCCTCAAGATCCCTCTTATTCTGATGTGAATTCAGGCGACCACTCCCAACCATCTTCGGTGTCGGGTGTTACAACCACTCCCCACTCTCTTTGGTGTCGGATGTTACAACCACTCCTCGCCCTCTTCTACCTTGGGTGTTACATGTCCACCAATTTCCGCTTGCTTTGTTCCCGAACCACATCGTACTGGGAGAGGTCTGCTCTGATACCATTTATAACGCCTCGAACTACTTTCAGGATTACCGACTGATCTAACAAACCAACACAGGTCTTTTCAGCATGTTTTGTCCTCACTTACACTCTTTTCAAAAAACTTTTCAGAAAGTCATCTATCCAAATACTACTTCAAGTGAAACCTCTTTAACTATAGGATTATTATTTGTTAGGCTACCGAAAAGAAGATGCATCTTGTTGGTATAGGTAGTACTAATCAATTCTTATAAACTCTTCCTTCAACCATGTAGTCACATACTTGCACAGTCTCAGAATCCCCTCATTTTGTTAGTATAGGTAGTACTAATCAATTCTTATAAACTCTTCCTTCAACCATGTAGTCACATACTTGCACAGTCTCAGTCTCAGAATCCCCTCATTTCAATGTGAATTCGGACAACTATTATGCGTCATCTTTAGCCTCAGGTGTTACACTATAAATGAAGTGACTCTCTCTACAGTAAATAGGTAGTGTTGCAGTGGTGGCTCCTGGGGCGATAAATAAGTTATGTTTAAGTGGTGGCTATCGCGACAGTAAATAAATTACGTTGCAGTGATGACTTTTGCAATGATAAATAGGTTGTGTTGCAATGGTAAATAACTTTTACAACCCGAAGAAAATATTTTATGATGAAGAAGAGGAAGGTGTATGAAATGAAGTGATGGAAAAGGGAAGTTGAAGAACTTGAAAGGTAGAAAGAAAAACCGAATAAAATTTAAGTAGAAAAAATTCTTATGAAAAGTAAGAATATCTTACCATCATGGTGTGAAATTTTTTTACCAACAAATGATCTTACATGGTCACACTTTTATTATATTAGATCTAAATTATTTATTTAATCTATTGATTATTTATTGCGATTTCAGCAGTGAGTTATTTAATTAAACTGTCACCTTAAATTTAACTTAGAAAATTAGTTGAATTAAAATAGGTATTTTTAAAAGATATTTTTGCACATTTATTTTAATATATCTGTTTAATCCAACTCAAACCAACCTATTGTTTCTTAATTTTATTCAGTTTAAATTTTATCGAAAAAATGTGCAAATTCAATTCAAATCAATTCATATATTTTTTTATTAGAATATTAGATTCTCTCGAAACCGAACGAATCATATCGACTCGCAAAGAACCCAAATGCATTCAACTTATGTACTTTTTCTGAATAAATTGAAAACCTCATTCACGAAAAATTCTCAGTTTATATTGATGGTAGTTATTAGTGTTGAAATCTAGCATGTTTTCTCATATTAGTATGGTGATACAAATTTAATTGCAAAAATATTCTTTTTAAGTTGATATCTAGCATGTTTTCTCATATCAGTATGGTGATACAAATTCAATTGCAAAAATTATCAGTAGCAAAGGATGGTTTGACTTTTCCGAACCTTTTTTTTAATTAATTTTATTTAAATTATAAAATTTTAATGCAGCCACTCATGTCATGGTCATGCAACTAAAAATATTTCTATTTTTTGATTTGATTGTTTACAAATATCAATTAAATTAATAAAAAAATTATCTACAATAAATTATGTATTATCTCAATCCACCTATTAATTTATCTACGGTGAATAATTACAGATTTTTTTTTTATAAAATAATAAAAATAGTATTTTAAAATTAAAAATAAATAAATAAATTTCTTTTTTAAACAACACTTACAAATGTATTGAATGATAATTATTTTTTAAAGAAAAGCTATTATATTGCTATGCATGGAAATTTCCGCGTAGTTTACCTCGCTTTGGATTTTGAAGGTAGGAATGAAAATTAGTTTTAAAGATTCCGTTGCACCAAAGTCTTCACCACTTGCTTGATTTTCAGGAGACAAAGTCAAATTGCACATGCTCAAACTCAAACAACTTTGAATCTTTAAACATTTTCTTGGCTGCATTGTCACTGCCACGATGCCATCACTAATATTTTTTTCGTCAAACCGCCACTAAGAATAAGCATCATCACAAATTTTCTTCTTTATTTTGAGAAAATAATAAACTCAAATATTTTTGTAAGGGATGCCAAATTGCATTCCACAAATTCTTATTTATCAAATCATACATAACTCTATTTCCAACATTCTTACCTCATTTTCACTTCTACAAAGCATTAACATTAAAGCTATAATTTGAGGTAAATTTGATGAAAGAATGTGTTAAGACCAAGGGAGTCATTACCCATTACTTAAAAACAATGGAAAAAAACAAAGACAATCATTAACTATAGTTATGTACTAGAATACATGTACACATACACATATCAAATTCTGTTGCAGATTTCAACTTCAATTAAGATTTATAATTGCTGGTGACTTCATCAAGGTGTTGGTCTATAATTTCAGAAACGGCGTCCATGAAAGTAGCTTCACTGGTACCAGGAAGAACAGATTCAAGTGCTGTTTTAACAATTCCTTCAATCACAGACTCGTTGTTCAAGGACTCTCGGCACATAAGGCTTCCAATGGCGAAAGGGGTCATCCCTTTTTCCACTCCTTTTTTTAGAAGCATGGTTGAGATTCGGAGAGTGCGGGCGCATTCGAGTGGCAGATCCCATCCGTGAAACTTCAGAAGAGCAGTATCTTCTTCAGCGTCTAGGGACTTTATGTAGTCGATGATCTCTGGAGAGTACGGCTGGCGAGCTTGAGGCCAATAAAGCCATTCAAAGGTACAATCTTCAAACTGTTGGGCATGGCAAAAAGATTCTCAGATGAGTGGGAAAATAACTACCGAAGTAAACTCTAGATTGCATTAGTTCACATCTCGAGAACAAAAGAAGCATCACGAGCATTATACGATAAACATTCCAAACAAGACAACAAAAGTTTACACTACACATCAAGAGAACAACAAAGCAGGCATCGCATGCATTATGAGATAAAACTTGATGAACAAAAATAAGGTGCTTACACTAGTAGGGAGGCAGTATCCGTGATCGATTGGAATCAAAACAGCCTGGTAATTTTCCTTCTCTCTGCCAATCAAAATATTCCCAGCATGCCGGTCTGCATTAGCAAGTCTTATGTCCAGCACAGTAATTTTATGCACTTCCTTCACAGGAAAAGCACCAGGTCCCATATCCTCACAACTTCCATTATTCTCCATGAACATTTGCAAGGAACCAAACTTAACAGTCAAACCCTCTGGATGGTTATACCCTTTATGCAAGGACTTCGCCATAACGGTCGGCGGAACACCAGCAAAGCCCTTGCCATCACCAAATAATGACCGGCAGCCACTCATTGGATGGTCCAAAATATAAGCAGCAACTTCCCTGAAAGCTCCCTGGCCAACTCTTGTACCCTTTTTTAAGCCTTCACCATCTAATGACAAAGGTAAGCCTCTAGGGTTATTCATAGCCATTGGCTCTTCATCAATAGGCTTAAAAACAGATATGTATTTTTGCCCTGTTGAATCTAGCATAAAGTAAGCCCCACCTGTGCCCTCTGACGATCTGATTGGAGAATTTCCGCTATCTAGCCCATCATATGTAGAGTTTATCATATCCCAAACCTCTGAAGCTAATTCAACTTTAGGGTTAACAATGACAGGCTCCAAGAGAAGACCTCTATCAAGAGCTTTCCTCGACATAATCCGCTCGATAGCTTCGTACTCCCTAGCTGCATCTTCTTCACTAACATCATATTTTTGCCCATAGTCACTTTCATTAGCATCATTCAACTCCTTTGCTTCAATGGACAACTCATCAAGTCCTGTACTAACATCCGCATATTTTGTTCTAACAAAAAGATGTATCACTGCATCATTATATTTGCAACAGATATCATCTATAAGCTTCTGATCCTCAAGCAGTTCCCCATTACACACAACCTCCTGCTGTTCAGGATCAGCAAAATCTTTCTCCCTTTTCGCAATCTGTTGCTTAACATACCCAACATCCTTGCATCTTTCAACCTGAAACGAAAACTCCTTCCCAGAACAAGTTCTCACACTAATGGTCTGAAGATCCGTCAGTCGAATCACCAAATGCAAAACATTTCCTTCTGTAACTCCATAGTCTTTGAGCAGAGAATTGCTCCGCGACAACTCACGCCCATTACAAACCAACTTCTGTTTGTTTGTCACACCCTCATTCCTTTGTATTTTAAGTTTCACAGACTCAATTGTATCAGACGGTAGAACACGCATAGGAGACAAAGACCCCGAATACGAAAGATACACGAAAATAAAGTCATGATGATCCATAGACAGGTGCAATGGATTACAGAATCCATTTGTCGGAGACAACAATGTCTCCCTGGAAACAGGACTAAGAGTAGTTACACCAGCAGAAGACATTTTTTACTATTTTGATGAACAAAATCAAAATTCAATGAACAAAATTTAAGGCTTTGACCTGAGCCAGAACCCTAATTTCTACAAAGGTTACAATTTTACAGCCATAGATTTGTACAAATTACTGAAATTAAAGCTCATCTATATCTATATGTGATAAAAACGAAAAAACCTACCCAGAAGACAAAACAAACTAAAAATGAAATTTTGAACAACTATGAACAAAAAGAACAAACTTTTTAACGGAAAAGATGAAAAAATCCAGACCCAACGCCTTAATTCCTCATCTTTTCCCTTACTGAAGCTACAATAAAACCCTAATTTGAAATTAGGATAAAAAACAGGAAAAGGGTGAAACAGAATCAATTGATGATGTAAACTCAACAGAGAGAAAGAGAGAAGATTCTTACCAAGAAGAAGAAGAAGGTAACGAGGTTTTTGATTATGGTTGAGTTAGAGAAAGAGTTGTTCAAATTCAAGATTCGGAAAATAAGGGTTTGTTATTACATTTGACTATGACCAAAAAATGAGAAGAATAAAATTGTGGAACAAGACAGACGCGCGTAGAAGACACGTAATACTTATCAAGATGCTACTTGTAAAAAATGCTTATAGGTGTTCACGACTAATTAAAAAATAATAAATACAAAACTTTTTCTTTTTTGACTAGTAAATGCAAAACGGTTAAGAAAACAGAAAGAAAAAAATTCAACAAAATGATTTTTGATAAAGTAAATTTATTTTTAAAAAAAATCATGTTTTTAATAAATATTAACACGTGCATAGTATTATTAAAGTCTAATAAAAAATCATTATATAATTAATTTTAGATTATGAAATTTATGAGAATAATTTATGATATTGTTGACAAGCTTTTTATTTATTATTTCTAAGATATTTATCTTGAAGTTGAAAGTTTATTGAAAAAAAATTATTATTTTTATTTTATATTTTTTCATAAAAATAGTTTATATATAAATATTTACGTTGGGTTGCGGAACTAGAAATGGAAGAGATCGTGGAAGCTATGGTGGAGCAAAGTTTTACAAGTGATTCAGTGACGTGGTACCGTAGATTGGAGGTTAAGATCATAGTGTTTCTTGAACAAAAGACGTTGGTCTCGAATCAACGTTGTTAATCGGTGTCGATCTTGAATCAGTGTTACTAATATACGACGATTCAGAGGAGGTGTCTGTATGGTTAACACTCTAAACTCAAATCAGTTTAGGATTTTAGATAATCATGGTAAGCGTGGAGATTAGAGACTATGTATCTGAAAACTTTTTGTAGAGATATTATACCTTGGACTTAATGAAGCAGGTTGGATAAATGGACCTCATTGTAATAGGCCTTTGGCTAGTGCAGGATAACGTGTTCTTGGGCTTTTGGCCGCCACAGAACAGTTGTCCCCAAGACTCGTCGGGCACTTTGAATGTCACTGAGTCTTTTAATAATCATGGTCAACATTTGGGAATGGTTGTCCAAGGGTCGGCAGACATGCGTTGCTTTGGTTTTGCCAAAGTGTAATGGAGAACGTGAGCATTAAATGTGGTTTCATCATTGAAACATTTTGCCGTTTTTCTTTCACGTGTGACTTGAAAAGGTCTGAGTGGTGTGACATAGTTTACTGTGTACTTGTGTGCACTTGAGTTTGGTTGCGTTTCTAAGATGAAATCTGACCGTTGATTCACACTTGCTTCTTACTTTCAATCTTATCCGCTTGATTGTCTTCGCCTATATAAAAATAGTAGAAATGTGGAGAAACTTTTTCACAATCTTGTAGGCTAAGTTTTCCTTATTTTCTCTGAGTCTTCCCCTTTTCTCTGAGAATATTTTTATAGGATTAATCGCCACCCTAATATTCAAAGATTCAAATTTCGAGCTTCTATTTTACTTTACTGCCTTCGACCAAATATGTAAGAAAAACTATCAACGAATTTAAAATGATTGATTGCAACTATGCAACCACACCAATTGGAATAAGCGTGAAATCTGAAAAGAGAACTAAGAGGACAAAGTGGATTCAACAATTTTCAAGCAAGTTCTTGGATCACTAAGGTACCTTTTTAATAATAGGTATGACACATACTTTATAGTTAGTATTAAAAAATAGATTCATGGATGTCTTGAAAGATCTCTTGGGAATGTGCAAGAAAAATATTAAGATACTTGAACTGCACCGTAGGTTATGATATTTTGTTTCATAAATCTTTAAAGCAAAATGATTTTATGTGAGTATATGTTTCTCCTTCACATAATAGTGTGCACACATGGTAGGTAAATATTATAAGTATCGTTGATTATTTAATTAAGCTATTTGGAACATAAATCTTATGATATTTAAAGAAGCAACAAGTTTGTAGTCTTGTTATCTGTGAAACAAAATATATATATTAGAATCATATGCATTTGTTAGAAAATTTGAACTGAATCAATGCTTAAGTGTTAAAGATTCAAGTTTTAAAAAATACATAACACTGCATATTGACAACAAATCTACTATAAACTTAGTCAAAAATATGTGATACACAACGAAAAAAACATATATAAATAAGACTCTATTTTCTTAAGAAGTAATTAAAGACTAAAAGTAAAACATTGTCTTACTGAATTCCAACTCGGTAATGTACGAAGAAAGGATTTATAGACTAGTAAATTTTTAAACATCAAAAAGGAATTGAGAATAGCTCGACTGGTTGAATAACTTATTAATCTAAAGTTGCATTAAGGGAGTATATTGTTGAATAATTCAAATACAAATAGTTAGAAATTGTTAATAGTTGGTTAGAATAATGGTATTTAGAAATTTGATAGTTGACTTATAATCTAAATAAGTAATTAAATTTGGTTATGTGATCTATAAATACGTCTTTATTCATAATAATACCATAAAAAATGACATTTAAAATCATTAAAGTTGATCAAGGAAGAATTTAAAAAATGATTTAAAAAAATATTTTATAGGATATTACTTTTTCATATTTAAAAAATATATTTTTTATAAAAATTATTTTTAATTACTTTTTAAATGATTTAATTAATTTTTACTATAATAAATAATTTAAATGTCTTCTTTATTAAAATCCGCAACATCTTTGAAATTTAACAGATTTAATAAGTAATTTAATTATTTAAAATTTGGTTGTAACAATTTCCTGCAAAAACTATCACCGCGTGTAAATTAGCAGGAACATAGAAACTTTTTATAAGAATATATCAAGAAGTGCATTGTTCATAAAGAAAGCGGATTTGAACTTGACTTTACAAAAATAATAGTAATAAAGTAAGAGTAAGAGTGCGCTCCTTGTCCGGTGTCCAGTGTCCTTATCTCTCATGGTCATCATCTCACCAACGGTTTAATATTATAATGCGCTTTTAACGTTACTCTCACCATTAGCATCAGCAGTGACTATTAAATGAAGGTGTACTACTTTTACTGTATCAACTAACGTTCCTTTTTTAAATTCATAATTTAAAGTATCAAACACAAATATTAAAGTATGTTAATTTTTTAAATACTGTTCCTCATATTTTGTCAATTTATTTGAAGTAGTTTTGAGTGATGTTAACTACGTAGTAAAATCTTTCTCACCAATCCTACAAATGGGAAAACTCCAATCAAATTCATATATGTATATTTTGTTTTTGCCCACTCGTACATAAGAACATCTAATAATTTAAGCGTCAATTTTTTCTTGTGTGGATAAGTCAAAAAGTTCATAAATGTTTTTTTCTTCACATATTATCGCTTGTCTAAATATATACAAAAATGACACATTTTTAACAAAGTCATACAAATATTTGAAATTTGAAAGCTCCTTAGAAGGATAATAACAAATAGTTGATCATACCTTACGTATATTTGAAGTCATACATATATTATCTCTCAAAGGTATCAAAACATACCTTACGACAGACATGACAAACTTAGCCAATAAAAAAGAATGGAGTCATGAGACAATACTTAAGGATAATGTGACATTTTACTATTGACATATGTTAACATTAAGGATAATGTGACATTTTACTATTGACATATGTTAACATAATCCATTAATATGAATAACTAGAAGAACATCTTAAGCATGTGTTTCGTTTAAACACCCAAAAATTATTTTATGTCTTATGGTCACGTCAAACTTAGCTTTCATGGCTTGAATACTTTTACTAAAAATGACACTCCCCAAAATACGTTAGACTTTAGGAGGAACATTGTCTTTAATAGTAAAACTACTAAGTTTAAAAATTGGAATCGTATCACTAAGAGCATCAAAACTTTATCAAAATCAGAGTTCATACCACATATATCTCAATGTCTCTCGATATACGATCTTGTAACAACCAAGATTGGATTTTATGAACCACAAAATATATAAGACAACCTCTATTGTCTAGTACAAACTCAACCATCAACCCTAATATGTAAAGAAATCACCCAATGTTGAAAGTTCTCAAAGAAATAACCTTTATTAACCAGAAAGTCTTCGACCTTCTAGTGGATCCCTTAACTATGGAAAAAGATGTATTGCTCAACAATCCTAACATCTCACTTCATGAATAACCCTTCGGTAAAACACATATCTCGACTAACATCCCGTTTGAGAAATTTCATCCTCAGCATTGGCTTCTCAATATTTAAAGGGAAGAATCCTTCATGTTGCTTATTACCACCACGTGAAGGCTAAAAAGTCTCAATCTTATTAGGGATGGACATCAGTTTGGGCTTGGGCCCAAACACGACAAGCAAACCAACCCACGAGTGAGATAAATAGGCCTTACTTTTTAGCGATTTAAATATCAATTTTTTGGGTTTAGTTCAAATCAAGTTTGATTAAATTGACGATTCGTTTCAGATTGAGCTAGCAATTGGGCTGGTTTAATATTTAAGCCCAAATATGAAATCCTCTAGAAATTTATTTTTTTACTTGTTTATTATCGATTTAGGAGCATCATACCAAATTTCCCCCCACATCAAGTGTTTTTCTACCATTAAAATTAATGAT